ACGCTGCTGAGGTGAAACCCTGTCAACGAGAGAATCATGAGTACACGCTTCAACTCACGCTATGCAAAACTCACTGTCATCCAAGTGTACGCGCCCACCAATGACGCAGATGACGAATCTAAGGAAGAATTTTATGAACAACTGCAGCGGGAGGTTGAAACAACACCCAGACATGATGTACTAATTGTGATAGGGGACCTGAATGCCAAAATCGGAGAGGGTAATGAAGGATGGGAGAAGGTGATGGGACGACATGGACTTGGAGGAATGAACGAGAACGGAGAGAGGCTAGCGACGTTCTGTGGCAACAACGACTTGGTGATTGGAGGCTCTCTATTCAAACATAGAGACATTTATAAGATTACGTGGACCTCCCCGAATGCAAGAGATCGGAATCAAATCGACCATATCATCATCAATGGTAGATACAGAGGTTCGCTGATGGACACCCGAACAATGAGAGGGGCTGATGCCAGCTGGGACCAGGTGTTGGGGACGGATGACGCAGATGATATCGAAGAGATGTGGGGACAAGTCAAGGAGGTCGATAACGAGAGTGCCAAGAAGGTGGTGGGAGAGAAGAGGAGAGTGAAGAGTGACTGGATCAGTGGGAAGATCTACAAGAAGATTGAAGAGAGACGATGGTTAAAGGCGAAGATAGGATATACACGGTCTGTCCGCATGAAGGAGAGAGCCGCTGCTGCGTATGCAGTGAAGGACAGGGAAGTGAAAGCCAGCGCCCGGGCAGACAAGCAGAGATGGCTGAATGACTTAGCAGAGGAAGCTGAGACAGCAGCCAGAAACAACTGCATTGGTGACCTGTACCAGCTCACTAGAAAGATAGCTGGACATGAAGGAATATGACTACCATCAAAGATAAAGAGGGCAAGCGACTTGTAAATGAAGACGAAGTCTTAGAAAGGTGGAGGGAACACTTTGAGGAAGTTTTGAATGTACAACGACCTGACATACCCCTGCCAGTGATAGATCAGGCACCTGGGGTCATCAGAAGCATCGACACTGGCGACATCTCAATTGCTGAAACTGAGAAAGCGATCCACCGTCTGAAGAATGGCAAGAGTCCAGGGATTCATGGCATCAGTGCCGAGTTGCTCAAGTGCTCCGAGAAGGATGCTGTGAAACAATTCCACTTACTGATTAACGCTATCTGGAAAGAACAATGTGTACCGGAGGACTGGAAGAAGTCACTCATAGTGAAAGTGCCGAAGAAGGGGGACCTCACTCAGTGTGATAACTATCGCGGTATATCTCTACTCTCCGTACCAAGCAAAATCCTATGCAGGGTCCTCATTGACAGATTGAAGAGTGGCGTGAACGAGATGATTAGCCAGGAGCAGGCAGGATTTCGATCTGGAAGGGGAACCTCTGAGCAAATCTTTGCTCTTCGGAACATCCTTGAGCAGTTTCACGAATGGCAAGCACCAGTGTACATTAACTTCGTTGACTTTTCAAAAGCTTTCGACTGCATTATCAGAGAAAGACTTTGGGACATTATGGGGCAGTATGGCATCCCTGACATCTTTATCAGGACTTTTCAGGTACTATATTATCAGAGCTCAAGCTGCGTCACAGAAGGCGGAAGGTATTCTAGCTGGTTCGAAGTGAAGAGTGGCGTGCGGTAGGGGTGTGTGTTGTCTGGCTTCATCTTTGTCTTGATCATGGACTGGGTCATGCGGCGCACAAATGATAGGAGACGCGGCTTGAGTTTGAAATTCACATCAGTCCTAGAAGACCTGGACTGTGCTGATGATGTTGCTCTAATCTCAAGCAGATTTACTGATCTCCAGGAGAAGACCGATAGGCTAGCAGCCACCGCCGGCATTGTTGGGTTTAAGATTAACCCGCGCAAAACAAAGACGCTTAGGATGAACCACAGATGCACGGAATACATCAGGATAGAAGGAGAGGACGTGGAAGATGTGGAATCCTTCGTGTACCTAGGTTCAGTACTTGACAAACTTGGCGGGGCAGAAGCAGACATCAAGAGGACTGCAGAACATCTGGAGGTCAGGTAGATTCAGCCAGAAGACCAAGTTGCGTATCCTGAACTCGAACGTCATGTCCGTGCTGTTGTATGGAGCCGAAATGTGGAGGGTGACAGTAACTGATCTCAACAAACTGGATGTTTTTCACCGCACGTGCCTTAGGAGAGTGCTGAGGAGATTCTGGCCCAACCATTTGAGCAACGAAGAGCTGTACGAAGCCACAGGGAGTACGCCGGTGTCAGTCCTTATACGAGTGAGAAGATGGCGATGGTTAGGGCATGTATTGAGTAAAAGTCCTGACAACATCTCGAGGACTGCATTGACGTGGGCACCTGAAGGTAAGAGGATTTGAGGTCGACCGAGGGAGACGTGGAGAAGAACCGTGGAGAAGGAAAGGAACAAGCTCGGATGGCATACATGGGGAGCTGCTGCTGCATCGGCCTCAGACTGGGATGGGTGGCGTGATTTTCTGACCGGCCGCAAGAGTCCTCATGGGCCCGATGAGGGTGAGTGAGTGTGTTCACCCATGATTGAATGACTAACCTCAGAGGAGATTGGCAAGGAATGTCACAAGGAAGTAAGATTAGGTAAGTATAGTCTCCTTCCTCATGGGGGAATTAAGGGCCAGGTTACGTAATGAAATGCTAAGTTTTAGAGTAACGATACTTAATTCATTGATCAGCTCTCCAGAGAAATTGTACTGTTGAACAAGCAAATTCTCAGAACGAACATAAGAAGACATATATGAAAAGGGTAAGGAGAATTTATGTACCAAGTTTCAGTTATACACTTATACAATTTTACTATCACTGATCTATCGACTTGCCGTATCGTAGGCCTCGTTCAAAAAACTCCACGTTTCCTCTTTTTCTTTGGTAAACAAAGAAAAATGATGACGAGAAAACGCAAAGGAACCACATCGAATCACGGGAAATATGGGGGTGGTTTGGTATAATGCAAAGGCTAGGCAGAGGCCCGAGATTTGCAATTAATGATTTTCAAGTTAGCCAGGTCACTACCTCAAAATCACTTGGAGTGACCATCGATGACAGACTCGATTGGAGTGGCCATATCGAGAAAGTAACTAAGAAAGTCGCTTCTGGTATTGCGGCCATAAAATGAATTAGGCACCTTGTCCCTCAGGCGACCTTACATCTTATATACCAAGCTTTGATACAGCCACATTTTGACTATTGCAATATTGTCTGGGGAAACTGTGGGATAACTTTACGGAATAAGGTACAAAAGCTACAAAATAGAGCAGCCCGTGTTTGACCTACTCAAACTATGACGTAGACGCTGGTCACCTGTTCAAACTTCTAGAATGGAAAAATCTAGTTTGGCAGCAGCAAATTCAAAGAGCTACGATGGTTTACAGGTCTCTGCACGGGTTGGCTCCAAATTATCTCAGTTGTAAATTTGAAATCCGAGAAATCGCATATGACCATTACCGCACACAGACTATTACAAAAATAGCTTTAGCTATAGTGGCGCCATTCACTGGAACAGTCTTCCTTGTAACTTAAGGGAAGCAGAGTCCCTTGGCAATTCAAACGACTACTGAAAGAAGAACTGTATGGCACGGCATTCGTGAAAAGCAGCTTTTTATTTAAATATTTCTCATTATATTAGTATTAGGTATTTTTAAAGCTGACGAATTTTGTACCGTGGATAAATAAAGATTATCTATCTATCTTGTCCTAGCAATAAACGAGAAATTCATGGGGAATACACTGCAATATCCCAGGGACATAGGAGAGAACACATAAGGAATCCTAAGGAAAAAGCACGAAGTCTACATAAAGGAACGCACTATACGAGAGAAGACGTGGCGTAACGCTCGGTAGACCCAGTGACACACAAGAGGAATGTACGGAGACGGACGAAAGAACAAGCGCACAACCTACGGAAAGCACAAGTGAACACACAGAGAATGCGCCGGGAACCAACGAGGAAAATACAAGGGAAAGCATGGGAACACACCGTTTAGCAGCGCTACGTGAAAATGCACAAGAGAACACAGCTATAACGAGAAAACACGACAATTTATTCATCTTTATTGTATTGCAATTAATAGACCAATTTCGATATATTAAAATTCAGCCTTACACAATAGACCTCAGCACGAGGCCCTGGGGAATAAACCCCTCAAACTCTAGTTATTTCCCAGAGCCTCGTGCTGAGGTCTATTGTTTTAGGCTGAATTTTAATATATCGAAATTGGTCTATTATCAGTCACAAGGAATAGTTTACAACATATATCAATATAACAAAGTGCAAAAGCCGCAGTACTTTGGTTTGTTTGGGAGCTGGGAAAAAGAAAAGAAAAAATTGTGCAAAATATCTAAATGAGCTTTGACTTCAAATATAAAATATCGTTTTCACGGTCCTTCCTACAAGAATTTAAAACATAAATTATCCACAATCATTAAAAAGTATCTTTAAAAGCACTGTTCACATAATCACGACGACTCTCTATTAAATCGATAGGTGATACTTCTAAATATTTCTTCAGCGTACAATTCTGTTAAGATAATGCGACCCGAAAAGTCTAAATAACGCTTACAGTAAACGTAAACTTCAGCTTGTCGGAACGGAATAAAGTGAAATAAATTTTGATTATTTTGAGAAATACTTAGTGTGTTGCCGATGAAATATCCGGGAAATTAAAGCATTCAATCTATCTATATGTTTCATAAATTTTATTGGCGCATTTCCCTTATCACAAATTTTTGCGAAAAAAATGCAAGGACTTAGAGAAAACGTTTAAAGTGAGCAAATACTTTTGCATAAGAACTAAGATGCAAATTCTTAAAATCTGCCGCGACGTTTTCGTCAGTGATTGGTTCTAGTTAGTAATTCATTTTCATCATAACTTGTAGAATATGCGTCAAATCAAACAGGTCATAGATGTGTGAACGCGTGGATTTCTGGCTCTTCTTGGTGATGTCTTTCCTGGGTTCCTTCCCTGAAGACGTTGACAAACAAAGGAACATTGAGACTGTGAAAGTAATGGTGAGTGTATATTTTTGAACGTTATGTTTGCTCCTTCAGAAAACGGAACAATTTTCACCTCGCTGAAGTTTTCATCGTCGCTTGCAATTTCCTTGACTGCAAACCGCTTCGCTGCTTAAATTATTAACTGCAGAGATTTTACGGCTGAAAACTGAACAACAAATTAAGAAAGTAAATGTGTACAAATTTAGCCGAATCTTAGTTCTATATTTCATGGTCTTCTTGCTCTGTGCTGAGCGAGTAAACGTTGAAAACCGTTACCACGTGCAGCGGATCGTGCAGGGTTGTTTGCAGCGTATCTCGGAAATAAATTTAACCTAGAGAAAAATATCCCTAACCAAATTCTTTAGCACTAGTAGTAAACTCTCTAGCTATAAATCTGGCCATAATGTTTCTCTTTATCTTGTTCAGTTTAGGGAGAAGTAATGACCGAATGGAGGAAGACAATGGAATCATTAGTATTCCCTGAAAATGGTGAGTGTACATTTCTACACGGTTTGTTTCTCTTCCACTTAATGGTACAATTTTTCTTCTCTCACTTGCCGGGATGCCTCACACTTAAAGCGAAGAAACTGTGTTTTACGATCGACAGTTGTATAAACTAAAGATATTTGTAGAAGAGTAAACCAATCTGGGTCAGGTTTTTGAAACTTACTTTCTTCTTCTTCGAGATCGCCACTATAACATTGCGTGGAAAATCGTTCATTTTAATGGAGAGTAATAAGGTGTATGTTGTATGTTTTAAGGTTCTCTTGCCCTGACCTGAAGTTTCTCTGTCTTTCTCATCTAAGGAAGAAGAAATCGCAACGAAAGAAGAGGATGGAATTCACGAAGGATCAGTGAATGATTTAATATTGAAGACGACAAAGTTAAGAATTTGAATTCATATTTAATTTTCGATTAAAATTAAATGGTGGCAATATAATTGAAACTCAGACATGCTTTTTGTTCTCTCGGTTTTGTTTTTTGTTTTTGCTTCTCTTAAGAGCGTTTACTAGTTCTTCGTCGTTTTGTTTGTAATTCAATGAACAATATTGTTTCCGTTCGTTCGTCGATCGCTGGAAAAAAAAATTGAACTTTAATCTTTTATCGAGTTATACCAGTCACCATTTTTGTCGAAATGATTCTGGAAGTATACTTAAAAGCGGTTTTTCAAAGACCTTCGTGATTCATATTACATTATACGTTCAAATTTTCGAACGAAACTAATCGGCGCTATTTTATGGGGGATTCATTGACTGGCTAACTAAACATTATTATTTCACTCATTGGAAATTGAATTTTCAGAAATAAGTGCAATTGAAAATTATTCTCAAACCGCTGTGTATTTTCCCTGAATCTTTAATTTACTGATGGAACTGTTTGCTGGTGGTTCAATAACGCGGAGCTTTCTGTAAGGTGGCACCTCATGTCTGATTACACGATTTATATTATGCGATCGGAGTAGTAGCTGATTTGATTTGACACTTAAAATTAGAAAATTGGGTTCAAGGGGGAGGGTAACGGGATGGTCATTTTAAACGCCAAATTTCTCATTCCGAATAAAAAGCGCCACTTTTCGATAGTTTCCTGTTTATTTAACCATCAGCAATTTAAGTCACTTTACTCTAACTTGTAATGACTGTTTGAAGGGCTCTCCGTGAATCAAAAATTGCTTTTATAAGCATCTGGGATTTTCGTGATCGGCTGAGGGCCCATTTTGGTGGGGATTTCCTCTTTCCCTTGACTGATTTCGGCTTGTTCAACCCCACAAGCAAGTCCTTCAAGTCCTACACATTCGCCATTTCCACGTTTCCATAATAAACCTTGTTTGCCCCAAACATTTTGCATAAGCATTGTCTTCAGTTTCTCTTGGGACGACTGCAATACCCAGGGGAAATGGGAAACAAAGGTTATGCAGAATTTTGGGGGGTGATGTGGAAATGGCGAATTGAATGGAGAACCCTTCTGTTAGTTATGTGATCTAGGTATTTGAACTTAAGTCTTTAAAATCAATATCTGGTTCATACGGGATGATACAAAAAAGAAAACTGCATTGATATAAAAATTCGGCTAAGATTAATTTTCTTGATGTGTCACCAAATTGACAACAACTTTAGAAGCAACTTAGGACTGCCATTGATGAGAATTAATATTTTGAGCTTTCACACAAAACAGTTAAAGATTATGGACCACACGCCTCAAAATGAAAAACATTTTACTGTAAATGTTATGGAAAATCGATTTGACCTGATCTATTTAAAAAAAAGTCGATGAAATTTTTTCTCTAAAAAGATATTTCTTCAGTCCTTCTCAAAAATGATTTTGTCTGATAACCTCCTTTGTACTAGCACGTGGATACAAAAGCTTTCTTCGATGGAAGTATCGACCTAGAGATTATTTCAAATTAACATTTGTTTTCCAGACAGAATTGCATGTTAGTGGTTGGTGAATCGATACATATTTGAAGTCTAGGAACCATTTGGCACTAAACATAACTATTCTAAGCAAGCCAGCAAGAACGATAAACAAAGCTATCGACTAACAGATATGGTCTTGATGTATAGTCAAATTCTCGGAGATGGTTTTGAAAGCAAGGTTTTTTGTTTATTATTTTGTTCAAAACAACGTTGTTTGTTCACACTTCTTTGCCTTGTTGATTGCAAAAAATTTCTAAAAGGTAACCGTTAAAAAAATTCCCGCCAAAAAAACTATTGCTCCATCCCCACTTTGATTTTGTTAAATCAAACATAAATTTGTTTTCTCGTTTTAAATCATTCTTTTTCTATTAGTCACTAAACAATTGCAAGCAGCATAAGGTATATATTTTGGTGACATTTTTCTTGCAAATCTAAAAGGTCGATGAAGAATAAAAACAAAAGTAAACCCAAAGTGTACAACTTGAATAAAGAATGACGATTTTGAATTATGAAATTATACTGAAAAGAAGTTCTGTTTTATAGAATTTTTCGCAGGTCTTGATTATACGTTCCTTTCAATAAGCAGTTATTGTCAGTATAGTTACAGCTTCTCAATTTTACTTCTAAATGTACAAATGTTGGCAGTATATAAGCAAAATTTCGATGAAATGCAAGCGATACGAGACTATGTAATTATACTGATAAAGCAAATCGACTAAGATAAATTGTTTTGATGTGCCGCCAGATTCTCCGAACAACTCGCAAAGCAATGTATGGATGTCAGTGATGAGAAATAATATATTGAGCTTTATAGAAAACTATTAAGGATTACGGACCACAGGCTTCAAAGATGGAAAACATATTACTGCAATTACAATTTATCTAATTTGGTATTTGAAAATCGATTTGAACAGTCGATGAATTTTTTCCTCTAAAAATATCTTCAGTCCATCTCGGCCAGCTAACGGGAATGATAAACAAAGTGATCGACCATAAGAGATATTATCTTGTTGTCAGCTGAAAGCTATGTTTTTTCATATATTTGTCCAAAACAACGTTCACTCCTCAAAGCTATTCACCCTGTGAGTTGCACAACTTATAGTCACTAAGAAGGCTGCATAAGGTAAATATTTTGGCAATATTTTTTCTTGAAAATGTTACAGATTGATGAACAATTTAAAACAATACAAATTAACTCTAAAATGCACAGTGTCAATAAAGGAGGAAGATTTTCGTTAAGAAATTGTATCGAAAAGAATTTGTTTTATATGGAATTTCTCTGGAGTTCGCTTCTACGTTCCTTTCAATAAGCAGTTATTGCATAGATATTTCACTGTCTTAATTTTACGTCTAAACATCCAAATT